TCAAATACGTGGTCTGTTCATTGCTTTTGTGAAAACAAATTGCTGTAGTGCTAGTTTTACCGATAACACGAGCAAATGGTTGGCATTCGTGGTGAGTTCCAAGAACCAGCATTCGAGTTATCGAAGGGAAGAGAAATTTAGTTCGAGTTGGCGGGGAGTGCGAGTTCTCCGAGTTCGAGTCACCAGGGTCCTACTGAAATAAATCAAAGGCTCCTAGGAGCGAGTTCATGGATGAATTGAATTAGTGTAGAAAAGACAGTTCAATAATCAAAGAAAAACATATCTTTTTGGACGGTTCATTGTGTACGGACTTTCCAAAATACAGCGTGACTCGGAGTATCCGATTGCATGTGCACCTGAATATTCTAGAAACTTGTTATCAGAGCAGCATTTCTGCTTACAACGCAAAGATCACTTTTAAGAGCAATTATTAACGCTTTTTAGTTGAGAAATAATTTGCTTTCTCATGTGGCTGTCAAACACTTTCAGAACGACAGTGCACTTTCTTGTAAAATAGCTAAGTTTTACATAAGCCCCAGTTTTATCTAAACCGTGGTTTTAAACAATTATTTTAATGGACCTCGAAGGTTTCCTATAAGTGCGATGCTTTTAAATAAATGTTTCCATATGCTGTTCACAAAGAGTACGTAACGGTAAGTATATGTAGTACGAGCTATTAAATACAGAATACAGGCGTTTATGACTAAATTAAACTTCTTTAGAACGCGCTTTTGATAAGCACTAGCTAAAAATTATTTTAATAAAACGGATTAAACTCAAAGCTGTACGTGCTCTGACCTAGCTAAGTAATTTAAACGCAGTCGAAGTATCCGATTAGAAGTATCTCCACCTGAATGTTCTAGAGACTTGTTTATACCAGCGCAGCATTAATTTCTTGTAGAAATTACATTAATAGCACTGCTAAATGGAATCATCGACAAACAAAAGCCTACTTTAAGGCAAAGATCACCTAAGAATTCAAGCAAAATAGCGTAACGCTTGTTGGTTCTCAAACCTGTGCTTCTAGTTGACACAACATTAATTCATTCCCTGTTTGCATACGAAGACAAATGGTCGAATGGATTCGTCCAAATAATAACAAACCACCATTGATACTCCTCAACGTCGCTTTAACAATTCGAGGAATGTTTTTTTGCAGTGATTAAAAAGGCTCTTTGGCGTATTCGCTTTTCGCTGAACGAAATCACATCGTCAGGCTGCGATAGCTCTTTCACCCTCCTGTCGACGCATCTTCTTCATATCAAGTAATATCTGGAGCAAATGTCCACAATTGGCCCAAATATACAACAATGATCCACGCTCAATTATTTCAATGTCCCTTTAATAATTTCAAGTCCATTTCTTGCAGATGATATTGTCAGTGTTCTTTAGAATATCGCTATTACACAAACCCCATCTCTATGATGTGTCGGGAAAAAATGTACGCTTTACCAGTACCCCCTAGAATACGCCAAACATATCCCTAAAAGGCAATTGGAACAAAAGTAATACTAAGTAAGGGAGGTGAGAATAAAGTGTTTAATCTGATGTTGGGGCAAATCTTTTTTCGTTTTGTTTTTCGTTTTCTCACTTACTTGTTATCGTGTATTCTTTTTCTCTTCCCTCTCCGGTATTTTGTTAATTACGCTCCTTTGTTACGTGCTGTATGTAAATTTCGTTATAGTTTGTTATCTCGCTCTTTTTTTTTCACCAGTTTACGTGTCTATTAGTGTAACAGCATTAGTGGAAGTAGATTTTTTTCCTCGGTGGCCCTGACCACCAACCCTGTCATCCTCAGCATTTGGTAAGCAGCTTCGTTTTCATCGTTTTTCATTAATTTCATTTTGCAGTCGCCTTAAAGTAGTTTTTCTGTATTGTAACTATTATTTTTTCGCTCTTTGTAGGAATTTACTTTTATGGTTCGTTAATAGTAAAAACATTTGCTGATCGTGAACGTGTTGTGTTTTTGGAATTGGCCCTTGCCCGTTCATCTGACTTTAATGAATAAATTAACGAGAATCGAGTGAGTGGGTGATCGAGTGCCATTCGAGTGCCTCCAAAAGCCCATGGCATGACTACGTCATCCATCAGTGATCCATGAGCTAAAAAGGAGGCTCAAAAAAATGAAGCGGGCAGAAACGAGAAACATTTGATTTTTTTTACTTTATTTTGCCTTATATGAGAGAATTCGAAAATAACATTTGAAACAAAAACCCGAACTTTTCATACGATGAACCAAACTAAGTGAGCTAAGTTCATGATGAGAATCCTAAGTTCGTCGTTTGTCTCAGATTAATGCATCAGTCAATTCCACCTGCGCCCAGCGCCCCCCCCCCCCGGGCTACTGCGGGGCATTTACCCGCCTTGTCAGTCGCGGGGGTGGGGCATTTGCAAATTTTGCACTGCCTGGGGGCCGGGCATTTGCCAACCCCCGAGCCATTCCCGAACTTTTGACACGCGCGCGGTTTCCTATCAGAATATAACTACACAGAAGGTTTCACTGGAAAAAAAAGCAGATTGGCTCATCTGTCAAGGAAAGGAATAAATTGTAGAGGGTTGTAAAGGCATGTTCACGATTTTACATCTATGTATGCAGTTCTTCATTGCTTATCAAGCCAGAATTACATAGCGAAATTGGAGCTATCGATGTGAATCAGCGTTTTTGGTTATTGAATCAACTTTCTGTTGATATTATTTGAAGAACACCCTTTCATATTTATAAAACTATTCATAACATATAACTTTACAGCGCTCTGTTAATTTTAATGTCAGTACTTTTATATCAATACTAAAACCATAAACTGGTGCACGTCGTCGCGGCGTGAAGTCTTGATTATAATCCTAGCGCTACACTCTTTTTTTTTTATAAGAATGTTGTTTTTCCGGCCCAGGCTGAATATTCTTATTTTTCTGCCGATTTTAAGCTGAAAATATTCTTGTGTTATTCTTAAATTATAGCTTATGACATTTCCGTTTTAGAATTTATTGGGGTATGTTTATATGTACTAGGGTATCTTAAAGATAGGAATGCTGCGGCACATTCTGTTGATACTGGCATTAGTTAGGCAGTGGGACTTAAAAGAATCGAAAATGACATTGAATGTCCTATTTACATGTTGGAAAGCACTAGAATAATTACTATCAGTCTATAGAAAGAACTCGTGGGAACGTTGTTTAGAAAATGACCAAGTGGTTATCAACTCTGGTTTTCCCACAGTAAATTGTAGGAAATAATAGAAATTCAGATTGTTTATCCATATATTTAATATGCGGTGTACTATCTTTTCTCTGGAAACACGATACTTTTCTTGCTCTTTATTGTACTTTATTAAGTAACAGTTATTTAGCTATATTTTTATAGAAAACAACAACACAAAAAACGGAAAGGAAAAAAGGAATTTGGTCGGCCTCGAACCCGGCACCATCGGCTTGACGCGACTACACCTAACCACTACACCACAGAGACTGGCTACGCAATGTTGGAAAAAGTCTTTAATTTCATCCCTTTTCCATGAAACCTCCGTCGGCAAGATGATCGCCAGCCGCATTAATCGAGCTATTAACAATGAAAAAACAATGCAAACGCATATTCCATGGCAATGAATGAATGAAAGAACATAATTATGCTTTTCAAAACGCCGATACACGTCCTCGTCTGCAACGTAGGACACAAAACATATGTTTTGTTATCTCGATTTCCCCTACGGTTATTTTGAAGCGAATGGTCAAAATCACATCCATTTTCGGCTCATACAAGTTCTTAAGAGTAGCATGGCATGACATTTTCTCACTTTCACATCACCCTTTAGCAAGCTGGAATTTGTATATCCCCCGTGTTGCGGAGTCGAAGAGCAAATGCTCATCTTCTCGTCAGGTTTAATACCGGGACGAGTCAAAGGCTCTTGAATTGAAATCCAATCCCCAAGTTAACCATCGTACTCATCTGAAAGACTCCTGCGTGTCTTAAATTTGGTAAGACCTGTAACCGTGCTGTAGAAAATTTGCTACGAAGAAAACTCTGAGTCTGGGCAGCGAACGATGCGAACTTCCCGTGTTTATATTTGAGTTGTTCGTGGCGCAATGCACTCTGGTTAAATGCAATGCATTGTGGTAAAAAGTGTGGTTAAATGCAATGCATTGTGGTAAAAAGTGATGAATTCGAGAATTCGTCGCCCCTTATATATATTTCCCTTAAATCCTGATTATGTTGCTGCTCGCTCCCTGCGGTCGCTCCGCAGCAATTACATGTACCGTTCATCGAACTGTCATTAGCGTTGAACATTTCGCTATAGCTAGTGCAGGTTTTTTCGTTTTGTTGGCTAGTTTCGCCGTTCAGAGAAAGGAATAATTTTATACGGTTAAGTTAAAAACATAAAATTGTATTGTATTTACAGATGTTTCAACACACAAAATTATATATGTCCTTTTCAAAATCTCAGCCTCGGCTTTATTCTTAAAATACTCTTAAAATTTCGCAAATTTCAGCCTCGATATTCTTATAAAGTATACACTTATAAAAAAAAAAAGAGTGTATTACAAAGGAAGACGTTAATTGAAACAAAAAATCCCACATTAAAATGGCACTATTGGACTGTGCGATCAATAAAAAATGTTGCACTGTTGACGGAGGACGGGGCATTTGCCCTCTTTTTTCGTCCCCACCCCGGGGGATTTGCCAGCTCAAGAGTCCCCACCCCCGGGGAATTTGCCATCCAAGGCAAAAAAAACTGCTAATTCCCGGGGGTCAGCCCGGGGGGGGGCCTGGGCGCAGGTGGAATTGACTGATGCATAAGTTCGTCTGCCAGCCTCCACGCAGTTTTCTCGGAATGTTGTTTTCGATCCCCTTTCCCCACTATCTTGGAGCCTTGAACAGGCTCGAAATACCAAGGGTGAAGTAAACCGTGCTCACGGTTTGATAAAGTGTAACAACCTGTGGAACCAAGTAGTGATCCGGGTGCGTTGCGTGACAACACGAAATAAACGAGACTGCAGGCGACTAAATGGCATACGGGCATGAGGTATATACCATATTATGTTTTGAGATGTCCAGGGATTTTAAATCGTGTCTCCTATGGTTACTTTTAGCTCTATTTTGTTGCTTACTGTACAAGACATTTGACTTTGGTTACTTCCATGGTGTTACTAGTTTACACTCCCATCCTGAGTTATCTCCTTTGTGCAAACGAATGTGGAATGCGGACAAGAATCGTCTCTTCCCAGGGGTTGACTACAAGATAAATCCACAAGGAGAGATCTCTCAAAATTCACGTCAGGATCGTGCTACCTATTCACTTTTTACCTGGGTGGACCCAAGAGTGTTTGAGCGTCCAACATTTAAAAGTTGGTGACATATTTATAACACATTTTTACACTCTTGCACTCTAGTTTAGTTAACCCATATGATAATGTTAATAAGACCGCACTAGGATTCAAACTGACGTTGCCCAGGGAGGTGGGGGAGGGGGGGTATTCTACAAAGTTCTATACGGAGAGGCTCCACCCTGAGGTCCAACCCATTTTGACAGAAAATGTACCCCTTTCATATACCTTCTGCTGACAAATTGTGTCCCTCACATACTCCTCCTTTTTGACGTACCTAGTATAGTCCTTTCGCTTCGACCCCTTTTAACTGCTGTAAATGCACTGTCTTCAAAACATGGAAAAATCACGAAACCAGACACACACATAAAATGCATCTGTAAAATCTGTAAGCCCTGGCCTTTTTACAGATGAAAATGACAACTTTCTGTACCTTTTCATATACTCAAACTAGTAAAGTCCTTACCCTTTGATATACCTGAATCCTGAAAAAGGTACCCCTTTCAGGAAGAGCCTTAATTATGGTATAGGCCATTGTAGGGAGTATCCCCAGGCCTCCTTGCAGGTGCTGCTCATGGTTGAAGTGGTATGCATGTGTCATATGAGCCTGTGCTGGCCAGCTCCCATGCTTTAGCTATGATTTTTAGCCTGACAGTTAAAAAACTCAGACTTACAGACCATATTCTTATGCTTGGTGGAAAAAAATTGAGCTATTGAGTTCATGGATAAAAATCTCAGGCCTTTGACTCGAAAAATTTGGCCATTAAAACTTGATATATATAAATGGCGTAGCGGTCTCCTTCAAGCTGACAGTGGCTGTCAAAGCACCCAACCTGGGCTAAGTAGGTCACAGTCTCAATTCCTATGAGAGATTCAGTTTGTTGAGAAAGATCTTTTTACTTCAATTCTTTAATAACCAAGGTGAACATTGGGCATCTTCTTATAAGCATCTTCACAGTTCTACTATAATGACTTTTGTATTTGTATTAAATCTTTAGAATTCATAGCTCTGTTGGACAACTATGAAAGTGAAACGGGGCGAGAAGAGGTTGTCACTCAACAAGAAAAGCATGAAAATCAACATTTCATTGATTCCATATATGAAACAGAACCAATGAAAATTGCTCATGAGTACTTGGCAGGCAAGGGGCTTGTAGCAGCGGGTCAAAGTCAGTTCAAAAGGCAATTGTATGATATGTGGTTTACAATGTACAGTAGAACAGGTGATAAAAGGTGAATAGCTTATTTTTTTGTTTTCTAAAAGCCTCTTACATCACAGAGGATTAAGGGTAATATAATAAGTTATTGACAGTTAAATCAAGAATCAATTAAGCAACATAATTAAATGGCAGTTGAAGGGTGACCTGAACCAGAAGTGATTATAACATCCAATTTCTCCATGTAATCTGTATGTGTTATCGACCAAGTGTTAAGGTCAAGCTGCCTGGATATTAGTGAGTTTACACAACAGGACAGTTGAAAGAAGAGGACGGCAAAACTCTTGTGTGTGACAAACGTGAAAGGGCTATTACTAGCGTGTTTTGTCGTGATCTTTTCTTAATGCTAATGTTTTGTGGTTTTTAACAAAAAGATCTGTCCAAAAAGAAGTGAAGTTTGGCAAAAAAATTATATCGAATAAAATTATTGTCACGCTTGTCACACAAGATTTGCTGTCTTCTTTCCTGTCCTGTCCTGTTGCGTAAGTTCCCATTGTCAAAGTCAAGGTCCACAAAAAGCAAAACAGGAATGAGACCAATATCAAACTATCTTGACCAATCAAGCCTAGGCAATAAATGTTTGATTATATGGCAAGAAGAATTTTTTTCTTGCAGGAACAAAACCCAGGGGTACTCCAGGGAGGCTCCTAATGAAAGGGGTACCTTTTTCAGGCTTCAGGTATGAAAGTGAAGGGATTTCACAAGTTGAAGTATATGAAAGGCAAAATGAAATCTGTCATTTCGGTTTGTAAAGAGTGCCTAAAGGGCTGATAGATGAATTCTGTGGCTGTGAAATGTTCTGGTTTGTGGTTTATTCTTATTTTTTAAACAAATGCATTCACAGCAGTTAAAAGGGATACAAAGTTCTAAATTAGATATGTGAAATGGGTACCATTTTGTTAATAGAGGGTATATAAAAAGTGTACCTTTTCCGTCAAAAATAGTATATAAAAGGGAGGGTAAGGGGCTGGACATCTGGGCAAAGCCTCCCCATATAAAACTTTGTTTAGTAGCCCCTCCAGGGAGCAAAGCAGACAGTCCTGAATGGACAAAAGGGCTATCTTGCCTGCTCTGGTAAAACGAAGCACATTATTCACTGTATCTTGCCATATGGTTACCTATAAAGAGGGAGTACAGTCGAACCCCCACTATATGGCCACCTCTGTACAACGGTCACTTTTCCTGGTTGACAGTCAATACGTTGACACTTGTTTAAACCTCTCTACACAGCCACTTTCTTCTGTCCAAGGTGGCTGTTGAGGAGGGGTTGAACTGTATAACCATTTCTCCCCCAATCATATGCCCAATGTTAATGTTCAATTCCAAATTTCAATAACAATGATGATCATAATGTTATTTTTTAATATTTTTTTCTATCATTAAAATAAAAATAATAGAAAAGAAGATACTAAATTGTTATAAATAATTATGCTAATATTTGCACAAAAAAGGCACCATCAGCCTGGGGAATGACTGATAGGGGAAAAAATGTTAATTACATAGTAGTCTCTAGGCCCCGAGGATGACTTTGTCAAATTTCTGACACATGATTGTTTTTTTTTGTGTGTGTTAGAATGCAAGCACAAAGGGAATGGATTGTGTTCTGATTCTTAGCAAGCTGCTAAGTTTAATTGTGGGGATCACTCGAGGAGTCGAAGGGGGGGGGTACCTTTTATATATTATTATGTACCCCTTTCATATACCTTCTTTTGTCAAATGGTACCTCATGCACCTACCTTAAGAACTTTGAATCCCCTTCAACTGCTGGAAGTGCACTGTCTTTTAAATCTAAATAAATCATAAAACCAGAACAGATTTACCTACCCCTTTATATACTTCAGTAACTGAAACTCCCTACCATTTGATATATTTGAAGCCTGAAAAAGGTACCCCTTTCGGGCGGAGCCTCCCCCTATAGGCCATTTTGACTGTAGTAACAAATAAGAATTCTTTTCAATAGCTTTAAAGATTCATCTGGCTTTGAACATGTATTTGTGGGGGAGTCACAGAAAAAAAAGGCTAATGTGGCTGGCTTCCATAACTGGATTCAATTCTACTTGCAAGAGAAAAAAGGCTTGCTCGACTATAAAGGCTTCTATCCAAGTCGGAGAGTAAGTATTTAAATGTCACTACAAAACTGTACCATTCTCTGTTCACGTCATGATAGCTAATCTCTCATTGTAGTATATTCAAGGATAAGGACATTAAAAAAAAGTCGTACCCCTATGTGCGACCACCTCTCGTAAGCGACGACTTATCCAAAACACCAACATTTTCCGAGTCAAAGTCTTACAGATTAAACTCTCGTAAACGACCTCCATTTGTAAGCGTATGAGAAGAACTTTTAGAAACAACATAGTTTTACATATACATGTATTGTAACAGCTACCAGGTGCATGCAATACGTTCTGTCCAAAAACTAGGGGTCGGTTCGGGCTTCTCCTCGTGGAAGACTCCCTGCAGGTCGACTCTCTTTTAAAATTATCCCCAGACTTTAGAGAAGTTACCACCTTTAAATGTTTCAAAAACAAAATACGTACATTGGATATAGTTACACTAATGGATAATGGATGCAAGTGTTGTCATCTCTGCAATTCATAGACACATTTGTCATACTGTAAATATTGTTACTGTCATTAATTTTTTTATACCTGTGCTTATATGTAAATATTTTTTACTTTAATTTATGTTTATTTATTTTGTGTCCCCTAATTAGCATAGGTTTTTAACCTAAGCTAGCAGGCTTCTTTAGACACCTTAATAAAGTTTCATCATCATCATCTCGTAAGTGACCTCCTCCCATAAGCGACCACTGCGTATTTTGGGTCGTCGCTTACGGGACGTTCGACTATACAGAAAATATGAACTTTGTGTAAATGACGACTTTTAAATCTCGATGTAAAATGTTTTTGTAAACTTGAAGCTCTCCTCCCTCAGTAAGTAGAGTCTGTCTAGTATTTAAGTGAATTTAAAACTGTATCTATAGTCTCTTTAATCCCAGATTGATGGTACTTTTCAGATCTTTTCATGGTGATGCCTAAAATTTGTCCCAAAAATGTCCAGAAAACTTTAATTCTTAGCCAAATGTTAATTTTTTTATACTCTTTCCGGACAATTTCTCATTACATGGTCATTTTGGTGAATAGCTAATACCACATTTTATTTCATGCCTAAACTTAATAGCATTAGGTAAGACTTAAAATTAGGTGTAGAAATCTGTCAGGGGAACCCAACGACGGTTTCCTCCTAAATACGTTGAAAACACCTTTTAGGCTTTGCAGAGTACTTTAACATTTGCAGAGATGCATCTTAGCGGCGCTATAGCATTTGTATCTTTTCTGTCATCCTGGGGGAACTTGAGTCTTTTCGAAATTGCAAGGGCTTCAGTATTATTTTCCCGAAAATTTTAGATCCAATTTAACATATTACGTAGCCTGAGCTCAGGCTACATATTACGAAAGTGAGAGGTTTTCTCATTCCTCTCTCCATCACATTTTTGAATCCAAAAAGTTTAGGATTCGTTTTTTGTCCGAAAAATATCCTAATCTGGGAAGTGAAATGTGAAAAATTAAAGGTTCAGAAAATCGTAGGGAATTTATTAGATAAGCTTCGAAATTGTACCTGAATGGAATGGTCATGTAGAAATTATTAGCCGGCCATTAAAATTATTCTTGGCAATATTCGCTTCTCCGAACAGATGTTTTACAGAAAACAGTCGTTGGGTGCCCCTGATCTGTTAGTGTTTTTTGTAATAATATTGAAACAGTAACAGTGTCTCGTTTTTTCCTGACAGGAAAAGCACATAACTAGTGAAGATTGAAGCATGAATAAGCCCCTTACTGTGCGGTTCAATTGGAAAGGTGATTTAAAACGGATTGGCGGCAGCTTCATTGGCACTAGCCCTGAATTTGAAATGGCGCTGTGTACAGTTTGTTTCCTGGCTCGGGAAGGAGATGGGCGTCTTGACCGTATTGAGCTTGATGACTACGATGTTATTGTCAAAGCTCATCGCTTTGGAGCAAACTTACTGAGTACCTGCTATCCGATTAATAAATGAAACAAGTCAGCAAATGAACGAACTCCTCCTCCTAGCGGGAGCGGCGAACACGATCTAGCCTGCGAGCAAGCTCTTCTATTTGGGCGAGTGAAGCGAGTCTCGCGAGAACACGCGAGCGAGCGGCGAACCCTCGAAGCCCCTAGCTCGCGCGTTCTCGCGAGCTTGCTCGGGGGCCAACACGATCGAGCTACATTGGACTGGCTAGCCTGCTAGCAAGTCCACTGGGACGCTCTGGTGGCGGCGCGAAAAGCGAGGCTCCCTTGCCGTCTTTCCTCCCCCACCCCTGTACACCAGGGAGAGCCTGCTCGCAGGCTATGGACCGGCAGAAATCTCAATAGGATACCTTGATGTTCTTAGCAAACATGTTCCAGTTCTTGTAAAGTTCTGACTCGATCTTATGATTGTTAAATGCAACTACTATATAACAGGAAAATTAAGGTATAACCAAGGCGAATTAAATTAAAGAAACGCAAAGGAGGGGATAAAATTTCAAAATAAACAAACTTAACGCGACGTACGTGAGTTAGAAACAAATGTGGTTGAGGCAATAGGAACAACTGTATCTTAATGCTGAGAGCAAGAATCTAAATGCAAGAAATGTCGCCACTTCGCCAGAGCAATAGAGTTCTAAAATGATGACGTCATAAGAAATTATGGGATTTGTTGAGATGTTTTGAAAGAAGAACACCTGAAAGGCCTACTTGCCAAAAACGAGCACTGTGGGGCAAATTGTCTCGGAGATACCTCTGAGTCCCGTTTTGTTTCGGTGACTCCATACAAATCCTTCTAATTTCAGGGTCGGCCAGGGTTTTTGGGAACACGGTACACAGGGGCTTTTTAAATCGGGTATACGGTATATTGCAGCTTAAATACGGGTATTCGGTATATCACTTTCTTTGAATTTCAGGTATAAAGTATACCTGGTTATAATTTTGGGTATATTTGGATGAATTTTGGGTATTTTGGGGTATTTTGGTGAATTTTTTTCTGGTATACTGGTATACCACTACCCCCCCCGGCCGACCCTGTAATTTGACTCGGTTCCTAATGTTATGAACTGAGTCAAATTTAGAAGAGTTTTTTTGGAGTAATCAGAGCATAACTGGGCTAATATCACAAAGACAATTTGCCCTGGAATACTAATTGTTGGCAAGTAGGCCTTTTGGATGTTGTTCTTTCATAATAGCCCGAAAAATCCCATAATTAAATTTGTCAAATTCTATTTTCTTATGACGTCACACTTTAGGACTCTGTCCGCGCGTGACGTCACGGCGGCTATATTCTTCGAGAAAAAATTCTATTGTACTGACCCCCAACATGCCGTCTTATCACGTGGTGCAAACCAAGAACTGGTGCGGTCACACGGTACAATCACACGGGACACTTTTACCAAGGGAAATGCCTTTTACCGTGGTGCGTGGTGCGTGGCTACCGTGGAGACCTCTGGTAAAAATTAATCATCAAAAATTAGGCCTGTTCCACGGGGGTAGCCCATGGACTAGGTCTACAAAGAGGTCCATGGACCGGGGTTCCATGTGTTGTATACGTTCAATTATCGATATGCTCCGAAAATTTGCTGTGAAACAATCTGAGGAAGCCAGATCAATCCCAGTGTTCCCAGTCTTCGCGGTCAAATTCATGAATATTGATATGTCACGTCATTGAGGTCAGGCATTCTCGTCGTCGATCGCTTTGTGATTTCTTTCCTTTCTTCTGGTCCTGGAAATAGGGTAAGTTCACAAGAACCAATTTGCTTTGTTTCCAGCCGTATTAACTTTCCCTATAAAAGTGATAACAAATCATGTAAATTGTAATTCGTCCGCTTTGAGAAGATGATTCTTAATCTCGCGCATCAGCTCGTTACTAGTCCAAAATGATGACAAAAACCTGGCGTCCTTTAAGTTTGA